CAAAACCTGACAGTGATTGCATTTTATTGTCTCGGGCTAATTCCAGATATCCCAGAGGGACTGATGGATGGCAAGAGCTCTACTGGATTGAGTTACTAGCCTCCCAGCTGCAGCTGAGTAAGGATCTATTTGACAGGGAGTGCCTTGGAGAAGCGTGAGCACCCATGTGTACAGCATGAGAACAGCAGTTTGCCCTCATTTTTACAGCTGCAAGACTTGACCTGCGAGGTCCCTGCTCAGCTTCTGAGCTTGGGCCCAGTTACTTTTCAGAGGTGTTGCTCTTTCTTGTGACTCTGCCTGGGAAGTGAAGAATGTATTCTCAGGGCTCTGCCATTAAGGAAGATGTAAATAAACTTGAAGTTGTAATTTCTTTACAGTAAAGTTAAACTGTAACCTGAGTTGTGGGATTGCAACACGGTAGTCCGCTTTCAGTTTGTAGTGTAGATAAAATTAAACAATACAGCCCCTTTATTATAGCCAACCACGAGTTTGCTTCAGAACTCATTTAGGAATTCCGTGTGACTGATAGATGGATAATTCTAATGCTGGTTATCAGCTGAGAGAAGAGTTATTCCAGTTAACTCCAGTTGGTTATGTAAATGTTTGTTATGTGCAGATGTCTGCTGCTTTGTGTGTGTGTGCGTGCATGTCTGTGTGGGCTTCAGTTTGCACAATCTAGCAGTATAATTTCGAATGATCTTTGCACCTAGCTAATAGTATTTCCACTTCTGTGTACATGACACGAGGAAATTGTTGTTTATCAAAGATTCCCTTTTTAAAACCATAGCTCAGGTGCACTGATTCTGAAAAATGCATTGTTATCATATTTGGCATCCTGTGTCTGATGCAGACAGTTTAACTTTTGATTAATATTACAGATGCTGTTACTGATTCAAAACCCACATTTTCTACCCAGCTGACCAGTGATAAACAGTCGTCTTCATCAGAATCAGCTGCCAGGTTGCCTCGGGCTTTCCATGAAGGAAACTTGAAGCTGAATTCTCTTGATTAGTGTGTGAACTTGTATTTGTACTGTGTCAGAATGCTTAAAGTCAGTGGGATGCTTTCAAAATTGATAGGAATCTCTAACAAAATTGAGTTTCACAAATTGCAAGTCCAAAATGTCACAAGGTTTAAACAGGAAAATGAAACTACTGACCTTTACCAGTTTCTAAGCTTTTTTTTTTTGAACTTTCTTCTGAGTTCTGCAATATTCTCTGTATCTTGATGTACAGGACATCTTTTTTTAAAATGTGAAAACTGAAATTGTGTAAGTGGAGGTGTAACAAAAGCATTAGAGACTTTTCAGAGTATGATACAATGAGTTGGCAACGCAGCCTGTAGGCTGTTAGAAAGCGTGTCTGAAACTGGTGGCTTAATTCTTAATTCCGCTCCCTTTTCCAGTTCCCTAAATAATCCCTTTGTAGATCACCTTGTAAGCACATAGCGGTGGCCAGAAAACTTTATTTTGTAACAGAGGCTTGTAGTTGCAAGTGCGCCCCTGGAGGCTTTTGCAATGAAAAGCACGTGCCTTTATACCTCTGCTGAACTGATCCTGGGACGGTGTGATTTTTAGCAAAAGGATGGATGTGTTTTGTCTATACATTTTTACCTCTAGGGCTGCTTCTCTTCAAGGCATTGTTTAGAAATGGACTTGCATTCTTGTCACTAGAAACTACTCCAGCATCTCAGTATGGATGCACAGAAATTTCTTTGTATCTAATTTGTATATCTACATTGTGTAAAACCTGATGCAAATTCAGGTAAATTTCTATCCACCTTTCAGAAACACGCCGAAGACTCCTCATTTCTGGGTTTTTCCTCCTTTAATGAATGTGGGTTAAAATATACAATTAACTAAGCTGTGGTCATTTCTTTGGATTTGTGTAAGGCTATAAGAATGACACCCAACTGTTTGACTAGCTCAGTTAGGACATAATTCAAGGAGACTTCTCACTTTAAATCTATGAGGAAGAAGTCTGTGACAGAAGTCTTATGTATGACAAAGCTTGGTTCTGAATAATTTTTTTTTTTTAAAATAGACCAAGATAATTTGAGGTACAAAAGTAGAAGTGGGAAATGCTAGTTTTCTGAACGGATATGCTTTATAGCTTCTCAGCTGCAGTTTTAAAGCATGGTACATATAGATGTCAGTATGTGTGGAGGGTGTGTACATACTACTACATACCTCCGTACCGTATGCCTAAAACTTAATCTGCAGAAGGTGGGAGGTGAGGTCATATTGCAGCTAGTGTGCAGTACAATGTGAGGTGCAGACAACTTATCTTCAGCTCTGAGCCATACAGAATTTGCAAAGCCAAACTCTGGTGAATTTTGAGGATAGCTTCTTAATGAGCACATCATTAAGAAGTCTGTAACTAACCCCACCATGCATGTTTACCTCATCCAGAGGGTATCTTGTTGCTGGGAACTGAGCATGTGTGGATGTTAGACAATGTGACACTTCTTGTGAGCATAAAAGATGCTAATAATAACTTATTCTCACTTTCTAATTCCTCGTACAACATAGCTAAATGAGCAGAGTGGCCTTCTGCCATTTCCCTAACTCATGAGCTGTTTGTTTGCAGCTGCTGCTTTCCTGGTGATGACCGCATCAGTGCTTCTACGTCCTTAAGTCCCAACCGAGGATTTTTTCAGGCTGAAACACACAAATATTCGTGAAGCACTTTGCACGTCTTCAGTGGTAGCTGCCACTGTACTGCAATCTTTCTAAGTTTGATGCACTTTTCTAAGTGCACCTTTAAGTACAGTGCACTTAGAGTTGCAATTTAGTTTATTACAAACTTATTTCCAAAAGAGATGTGGTCTGAATTTGTATGCAAAGTCTAGCATGTGTTTGTAATTGAAAACACACTACAAGACAGGATATCAATTTAATTTAGATTTTTGGATGATTATCAGGTAGGTTTAATTCAAAAGGGAAATGATATCTAAGTATGAAAGGAAGCAGTATTGACTAGTAAGCAGGTGGACTATTCTTGTTTGCCTTCCTGTGCTGGGCAGGAATAGACATGATTGAAAGTCCTTGCATTGTATGCCTTACGGTTGAATGCTGTTCTTGGTCCTTTCAAGGTTTTACTGAATCACTGCTGAGTGAAAAGTTATAGTTGCTATTTAACCAATCAGCCTTTGGGACTTTTCTTTGTCTGGTTAAAAAGTAAATAGTGTAAGCCTAAAGATTTTTTTCAGAGAGGGGTTTCATACTCTCTGTTGGTGAGAATATGGAGATTTGAATGTGTAAAAATATAAGAAAGGGGCAACTTGTGAGAAAGATCAGCATTTGGTTAGTTTGATAAATTTTACTTTCAGTAGGTAAAGTCTTATATTCACCATTATGCGAATACTTCTACTGTTTTGGAGAAAGGTGTTTTTCATAAATTTTATCCCTTCTTTAGGAGGAAGGAAGCAGGAAGGGAGGCCTCACTGTAATTATCCTGGATTAGCTAGCCAGCATAGCACAGCCAAGGTCAAAACCTAAAGCTGAGCATTGCCTCTGCTCAGTGAAGAGTTCTTGTTACTTCCCTGCATGTACCTTGCTTTCAGCAGGTGAAGTCCTGATGAACTCAGGTAATGTTAAGCCATTTATGTGGATGATGGCAGTCTCTCCAAGGCTTATACATCAGCATTTGTTGCCTGCCTGTATGCTGGTTTTACATCTCACACAAGAGGTTAGACCCTGATTTCTGTGGTGCTCCAAGCACAACAGGAACCTCCCAAACTATACAGCTACCTGAGGGCTGAGTTGAGGCTGGGCATAAGTCAGTGCCCTGATGAGTATGGTAGCTTGAATGAGAAGACCAGAAAAAATTAAGTTTTAGAAAAAAAAATATTCATTTTTCATCACCTCTGAGTGATGCAGTGCAACTTTATGGAGAAGTATAAACCTACCAGTTATCATAGTAAACCTCTTCTGCAATGGGAAAAAGAAGGGGAGTGGAAATCTGTTTTGCATGTCTGGCACGAGGTTTCACCATGTCCCTTTGTGTTCCTTACGGTGGCTTGGAGCCATTCATTAATGTGTGTTTAGGAGTTTGTGAAAGCTTGGTGGTCATGATGCCAGAAAACAACACTGAGCCCGACAGAGTTGGCCTGAGTTCAGCTGCACTTGGAAAACAGGCAATCAATATTTGCTAAATGCAAGTTGCCAAAGTAGGGCCCAGTTTTTGAAAAGCAGTAGAGTTCAAGTTAATTACAGGGTCTGCTGGATATAGAGGTACTTAAGTGTTGAATCAGATCTAAAAAGAGGAGGCATTTAAGTTTCTTCCCAGCTGAAGGAAGCTGTGAGCACGAAGCCTGGAGTTACTTCTCTGCCTTGGCAGGAACAAAAGAAAAACTTTGATTTTTGAAGCTGGAAGGAGTTCTCTAAGAAGTGATCTTTTCAGGCCCTCACATGCTTTGTTACCACCAGTACCCGATCTTCACCTTCCCCTCCACCCTGGATTCAAAATAGCTTCAGGCAGAGGAAGATTTTTTTTTTTTCTGCGGTGTATCAGATGATCTGAAAAAATGCTGCTTTCAAAATACAGGCTTCTGCTTTGCTAGTTCAGTTTTCTTAATGGGTGTCTTTCTTCTCACCGGCTGTTTTTCTCTGTTGGTAAAAAGTTAAAACTAGCATTTGTAGAAGAGTGGCATCTTTGCAGCTCTTATTTTTAATGCACTGCAACTACTGGGTTGCCTTGTTACGCAGTGATTATTGCTGAAGTGATGTGCAAGATGCATCACCAAAACATGTAATAGTATGGTAGGAACTTGCTGCTTCCCTGCATGTACTGTCTATGACTGTCCTGTGCAGTTTTCTGTACTGCTGTGGTAATTCACAGGTTTCCTGTTAATAATGTAAAGGGAAAATACTGACTCCTAAAAGGAATTCATACCTCTCTGACAGCTGGCCAGATTCTCACTGTTTTAGCAGGCCCTTGGAGGGGGGAGCAATTTTCACCCTTTGACTTCCTCTTTACATGGCTGTTGTGGTGCAAAAGGAGTGCTGTAGGAAATGAAAACACACGTCCCATTTCTTGACTGTTCCTGATATCTCTCCAACATTGTACCTGTGACTTCTGAACTGTTTGTCCTAATTCTCCTAACACACTGCTATATGTTTCCTGTGCTCTTGCATAGCAGAAGCTGAGACCAATTTTGAGGGCATTGAGAGCAAGTTTTCCTTACGGACACCTGCAGAGCCTGACGAAGATGTCTGCTACCTGGTTCCTGGGCAGGTGGACAGCCTGGCACAGTGTAACTTCAACCATACCAGTAAAACCTTTGTGGTGATCCACGGGTGGACGGTAAGAAGAAAGGGGAGGACTCTCCCTCTTAACTGCACTCCTGAAACTGCTAGATACATCAGCTGAGGTGTCTATACACCACAGATAATATTAAGATATCTCCTTTTTTAATTAAAAAAACCCCAACCCCAACAGGTGACAGGAATGTATGAAAGTTGGGTCCCGAAGCTGGTGGATGCTCTGTACAAGAGGGAACCTGATTCAAACGTCATTGTGGTGGACTGGCTAATTCGAGCTCAGCAGCACTACCCAGTGTCTGCTGCATATACTAAGCTGGTGGGAAAGGATGTTGCTATGTTCATTGACTGGATGGAGGTAAGACACGTAGTCACATTTCTCACACTGTACATAATGTCCTAGGAGACAAAACAGCAGTGATACAGATATGTTAATCATCTCCTGTTGGGTAGATGGAGTTAAGCTGTTGCAGACAGTACTTTTGCTGGTAAAATCCCAACTTTAATTTAGTGGTTATCTCTTATACAAGGAGGCCTTTTATAGTGCATTTTAGAAACTTCACCATGTGGTCTGTGGAGCCCTGTAAGTCCACAGTATTTCTGAAGGCTCTGTGAGAGTTGGCTGTGAAAGACATGTTCCTATATATTATACAGTAGCTAGACCTTGGGAAACAGAAGTCTGCCCTGCCTTTGGGAAATACTTTGGAGATGCAGAAACTGGTTGGGGGAGGATGGCTGAAAACCTTTGATAATACACAGCCCTATGTTCTGTCCTTCATTCTGCATTCCTCTCTGCTTAGATTTTTACCTAAGGTTAGTTAACTCAAGTGACCTAGTATGGCACAAAATTATGTTAATTGTATTTAGTGTTCCTTTTATTATTCATGGATCAAAGAGAAATCCCAGTGTTTACAAAATATTTTCCTTTGTGTCTTCTGATGTTTTCCCATTTGACTTTAAACAAATTGCTCTTTTCTGCAGGAGCAATTCAATTATCCTCTCAACAATGTCCACTTGCTGGGGTACAGTCTAGGTGCTCATGCTGCTGGGATTGCTGGCAGCCTGACCAAGAAGAAGGTGAACAGAATTACTGGTAAGAAAACCTGTATCTGTAGAGTGGTGAGCCTTGTTTCTTGCATGCTGAAATACTATGTTCCTTTGGAAAATTACCAGAATAATTGTTGCTTGTTGGCAGTACTTAGTTTGTGTTCATGCTTTATTGAATTAGCAGGGCAGATATTTCTGTAGTAGAACTGGAAAAGGTTCAGGAAACAACAAAGGTGTTGGAGGAGAAGCCTTGATCTGCTCCTGCACAAGAAATGAGTGAGTAGGCAGGGGATTCATCAGCCATGAAAAAGGCCTAGTTGGGGAAGATGTGATTAAGATTGGCCAAATACATGGCTCGGAGAAGGTCACAGTATCTCTTGCAGCGAAAGAACTTCAGGTGGTTGTCTTCATCCAGGCAGTCATCCCTTGCAGCTAGTGGTAGATATTCAAAAAGAATGGGAGGTGGATCCTCCTGCAGTGGGTGTAGTACCTGCAGAGCTCTTTTCCATGGGATGCTGCGAAGGCAAGTTTATACAGGCTCAAAGGGAGACTGGACAGGTAATCAGAAGAGGTCTGCTGGGGTTACTTAAAAAAAATATAAATAAATCCTAACAGGGTCAAGTTATATTCTAGGTTGAAAGTAATACTGGGAGAGTTTTGGGAAGGGGAGGGAAGCTTGCCTTATTCCTATGCCTGCTTAGATGTTTTAGCATGCTAGACAAGGCAGAGTGCATGGCCACTCTGGGGCTGGTTTATAGCCCAGCACCTGGAGAGCTGAGCCCCTACCACTGATCTCAGTGACAAAGGAAATGCCAACATCAGCAAATGAGGATAAGAAAAGCACTTATCTGTGGTCTCTTTGCTGCAGAGAGAGCTTGAGAGCAGCAATCAAATGGGAGCCTTGCTCCCTTCCTCGTGGCACCCTTTCCCCTTCCACCTGAGCCTGGCTGTGATCGCAGGTCTACACACGTGCTGGGGTGTGGGATAGGTAGCAGTCACATCAGGAAAGGCTGGCTCCTTAGAGATGGCAGATTATAATCAGGAGACCATGGCAGATTATAATCAGGAGACCAAAGCAGTAGTCTCTCTACCCTTCCTTTCTCTCAGCTGCAGCTTTCTTGCTTCTGCTGAGGCTGCCAAATCACTCAGTCATCTGTAGCCCTCTGTTATGTCCCCATGGTTGCCCTTGGAGCCCAGGATGAGCCTTTCCCTGGGAAAGCAGCATCACCTTTAAGCAGAGATGTGGTCCCTGAAGTCCTCATAGGACAGGGGAAGGGAGCTCAAACTGGGTGAGGTTAACCAGGGGTGGGCAATCCAGGTGCCTGTCCCCCGTCAACGGCTGTGGAAAAGACATGTCCCTTCAGTTCCATCTTCAGCCATCTCTCAAGTAGTTGCCTGGATTCAAGAGACAGTACTTGCTCACTGGCAGAATAGTTCTGGGTGTTTTTGATGTCAGTGTTGCTGCAGCTTGACACTTTGCCATAATATTCCCCTTCCCCTAGGCATGTAAACAGTGAAATTCTCGTTGATGTTTTCCACTTGTTCCCCTAGCAGGGAGTTAGCAGCAAGGCATTTTCCTCATTTCAGATAGAAATTTTACAATTCTTGACAAGAGAGGAAGACATTGAGAAAATATTTACTAGCTTGTTTCTTCCATCCACTGGAAATGCTACAGCTGTGAGGAAGTTATCTGGGCTTTTTTACATATGTTTACATGCACCTTATTTTTTTTTAAACAGTGACAGCATTTCAAGGTAGTGTATTTGATTCTCCTGAATACATGAATGCTACTTAAATGATCCTACTGTAATGTCTGCAGTGACACCAACACCATATGCAATACTCCAGCCCAATGTGGTAGCTGAGTTGGCATTTGTTGTCACTGTCGGTGTCTTTGGCAGACAATCTCAGTTTTTCTTTGTGGTTTGCCCCATAAAGGGCTAGATCCAGCTGGTCCTACCTTTGAGTATGCTGATGCCCTCACCCGCCTCTCCCCGGATGATGCTGACTTTGTTGATGTCCTACACACTTACACTCGAGGCTCTCCAGACCGCAGCATTGGGATCCAGAAGCCTGTTGGACACATTGATATTTATCCTAATGGTGGAGGTTTCCAACCAGGTTGCAACTTGGGAGAAGCACTCCGTCTGATTGCTGAAAAAGGCTTTGCAGGTGAGGCTGCTCTGAAACAAACAATATAACATCTAAAAGGAGATCTTCAATATCCTGCAGTCTTCCTGCAAGCAAAGATCTCTGAGAGGCACAGGAACTTGTTCTTTTAAGTGCTTTTAAAAGTCACCCTGTGAAGCCCAGCTCTGGCATAGTGGATTGTGCCTGTTGACAGCATTGTTTAGGGGTTTATATAATTATATGCATGTGTATATACATATTGCACATTTTCATTCTTTGAAGATGTGGATCAGCTGGTGAAATGTTCCCATGAACGATCCATCCACCTCTTCATTGACTCCCTCCTCTATGAAGAAAAGCCCAGCATGGCCTACCGCTGCAACACAAAGGAGGCCTTTGAGAAGGGTCTCTGCCTGAGCTGCCGTAAGAACCGCTGCAACAATTTGGGCTACAAGGTCAACAGAGTGAGAACAAAGAGAAACACCAAAATGTATTTGAAGACCCGTGCTCAGATGCCCTATAAAGGTAGGTCCTGCTTGCTTACTCGTGAGCAAGACTGGTACTTTTGCTCAACTGTGTGTCAGGGTGGGTGCATGCTGCAGATGACAATATTGTTGCTTTAGTGCAAGTGGTTAGCATAGGTGAAGCTTGCCTGCAGTTTGCCATTAAACGCAAGCTAAAGTGCAGTCTTGGAAAAACGGTGTCATCTTAATCAAGGTGTGGAGGTGGGTAGAATACAAAAAGCGCAAGGTATTTTGTAACAGGCTTCTAAGTAGCAAAAGTAAGACTATTTACTCTGCGGCCTGGTCACTTGGAACAACTGAGTCTTCCAATTTTTTTCAGTATTTTTGATCCAAATGAATTTTCCCTACTGCTGGGAAAATAATCAGCAGAGCTCAGCCTGATGCACAACTTCTGTAAAGATGTGCAGTGATCAGACTTGTGGCTTTTGTAGTGCCTTTGCCAGAGGAACACCATCCCTCATTAAAATAACACAGCACTTCTTGATTCCCATTGCTGCAGGTCTGAGAAGGACACTACCAGAAGGAACTGGAAGGTTTTCCACTGGGGAAATAGCTTCTGAGTTGGATTTTACTACTTTATTTTTTTTTCTTTCC